TGATAAAAAAGATTCCAAGTAGTATTGAGAAGTTTGAGAAACTGCGGTGGCTGGACCTGCATAGTAATCAGCTTGAGGACCTACCCGAGGCAATAGGTACACTTCAGAACCTTGCCTACCTGAATATATGTAACAACAAGCTGACCACCAAAAATCTGCCAGAGAAGTTGATTCTTCTCAAGAACCTGCGTGTTCTCAACCTTGGCTTGAACTGTCTTGACAGTATTCCCACCACTCTTGGGTCTCTGAAGGAGCTTAGGGAGATAGGTCTCTTTGACAACGCCTTGACCACCATCCCGAAGAGTGTGAAAAATCTCCCTAAACTCAAGAAACTGAATGCAGAAAGAAACCCTTTCCCAGATTCAACAAAGCAAGAAGAGCAAGATGACTCTATCAAACACAAAGAAACACTTCACTTAGTACAAGAGAAAGACTTGTGCTCTTCCTGCCTGAAGATGTGTCGGGGTGAGAGGGATAAGCTGAACGAGTTAAAGAATATGACACCGAGCCCCTCAAAGAAGCCAAGCTTCTCTTTACTCCTTACACCCAATTCCTCTGCAAAGGATAATCAAGAAGAATGGAGAGTAAGAGGTGAACATCCCTGAAATATACCAAAGCTTTCCACAAACCATGTCCCATGAAGTACAGCCCAAGCTAATAAAAAGCTGATCTCCATCTTCCTTCCTCTTCCTGCAGTTCTTTTCCTTTTAAGATCTATTCAGTTTTAGAAACAGCAGATCTGTGTGGTCTCAAAAAATGAAATCCAAAACAACTAAAACATGTACATTTGGAAAAGGGTGCACCTGGTACAGGAAGGACTATAGGTCTTTTCCTATACATTCTCCATGTTGGAGTTTGGAATTGGTTTTGATCTTCTGTGTGTGCATGTGTCCACTGAAGGAATCTTCAAAAAGTTACTTTTCTAGTAACTCCATTCCCACCATTGAGTCCCAAACATTAGTTCTGTTCATTTTCACAGGGTGAGACACAGTTAAACTAGTCTCAGTAAATGCCATTTGGAGGAAAAGGAACACACCTGGGAACCTTCTGCTGCTGGTGGCTGTCAACAGCCCCTCAGAGAATCTCAGATAGGCACTGTCAGTGTAGGAACTATGAGCCTGTTCCAATTCAGAAGAGGCAGCAGACGCAAATGTTATGCTCAGGAGTAATTAAGCAGTGCAAACACAATGCTTAGAGCTAAACAACCAGTGATCTTGTTTGCCATCAAGGGGCCAGACTCTGCAAAAGCAAGTTCTCTGAGATTTTGAGTGCTATACCTGGATGCAGTGATCTCTAACTTGCATGACACTATCAGCACCGATACGGTCCTGGTTTCACTGGGATAGAATCTTAGAATCAGTTTTGTATTCAGGAAAGCTGCATTTTTGAGAAGACTGAAGTGGTTCAGTGGGAACAAAGTGGATAAGACACTTTGTTTTAGTTTTCAGCCAGCACTGGTATGGATGTTCCCATAGTGATCAAGGTCTTCAGCAGTTTTGAGTTAGCCAGGTGCAGAAGCTAGGAGGAGCAAACGCCAGGGCAGCTGACCAACAGAAGTAATTTATACCATAAATGCCCTGCTCACTATAAATCGGGAAGTTTGCTGAGGATGGCCTTCTCTCTTTCCTCGATGGTCATCATCCCTGAAGGGTCTTGCCCATCTTTCTGCTCCTGAGGCCTGCTCCCACATTCAGCATGACCATTGCACTTTCATTGGAGCTATGGAGCTTGCAGTGTTTGACATCTAGCACTCACTTCTAGGAGTGCACAGCTGAGCTGAGTATAACTTTGTGTATTTTATATTAATATTGGTATTAATAGGTTCTTATTATCATTTTATAGAATCTGTTTTCACTTCAACCCATGAGTCTCCTCTCCTTTTCCCGATTCCCCCCTCAGGTGGGGAGGGATCGTCATCGGAACAACTGCCTAAATGAAGACAACTACCTATACCTATTGTATTTTGTCTGCCTCCGAGCCTCCCTCCAAGGATGGTACAGAAGGGAGAAGGAAAAAGACTGCACTTTTTAAGGGTCCTGGGCATATCCCTTAAACAGTGACTAAGAGTTGAGTCACCATCTTCCATGATCCAAGAGTCAGCTGGTGAAATGATGAAATCAGTTCTGCTGTCTCCACAGTACTTTTAGCTTTCTGTTCATATGTGTGCGTGCACATGTGCACCTGAGCACACAAATTCACTTGCTCAGATCACATCCCTAGGGTAGAAAGTGCTGTCAGACTGCAAACAGCAATATACAGGTACAAGCCATGAGCAGATTATAAAAGCAGTCAAGCATGACATGAGAAGGGGTGCTGGCTGTGGCCATAGTGACATATGGTGATGGCAAACTTAAGTATTTTTAAATGAATACAGTGCCAGGGGCAAAGAACTCAGTTGTCCAGTAACAGCCCATTTTAATTTTTTAGATGGCTACAGTAGAGATTGAGTGTCAAAATTCCTGTGTATTATTCCTATGGACTATGTAGAAAAACTGATATGGGGTTTACCAGAAATGCTACTGCCATAATATCATATGATACATCAAAAAAGTAATTTCTGCTTTGCATGCTTCAGCTGTGCAGTTATTAATACTGTGTCTGGGTCAAGAGCTTAGTCTGGCCTGCCTCCCTGTCTCAGGCAGGGCAAGAAAAGCTGTGATGCTTTAGAAGATGGACATTGCTGTCTCGACAGGGAAGGATCCTCTTGTGCTCCTCTTGAATTCTCACTCAGAACCGGCTCCAGAATTCAAACAAATGAAAAAATAAACTCATCAAACCATGAGTCCTTCAGTTCCCACACTGGAGCTTGGTAAAGGGGAGCATGCCCACTGCGGTAATTTTCTCTAACTTTCCCCTTAAACACAACTTTTCTGGGATCATAACTTAGGCAGTGGCACTATTGTGTTTAGTTTATTTCGGCTTATGCTGTAACATGGCCCAGCCAAAGCTATGCCAAAGGCCCCTTACATTCTCAGAGGGCGTAAGGTGCACAGGGTCCTCTCTCAGCCAGCGGAGTAAAACTGAAGGCAGAGCGCCTGCTTCAGTCTCTGAGATCAAACACGAGACAACTGTTTCATACAATAATCACAAGCCCAGCTAAAGTCCAAAGTTTCTGCAGCCATAGTGCATCTTATCTCAAGACATTCCCACCTGTTGAGCACCCAGCAAGCATAGGAAAAGAAAACCCTGGGATTAGTCGTTGGTTATCCCACACAGAACACACATCTTGCTCCATAGAGTCAACCATCATCTCTGGCATAGCCTCTAGCCACAGCTGGTTACATACCGCACTGCTACTCTTTGCAAGCTGATGACTGGTACTGAGGGGTGCAAATGTTCACTTAAAAGGTTGGTAATGATCTACAACAGGTAGAGTGAAAATTAAAAAGAAGAGTACAGCTGACAGGCAACACCACCTCATAGATGCAATCTATCCCTCAGGTCTCAAAAGTATTCCAGCCTCCAGGTGATCATTTCAGTGGACACCAATTAGGTGCTTAGGGTTGTGTTCCTCAGATATCCACACTGAGAAGAGTTACAGGTATGCAAGTGACTAAAGATCAACATGAAATATACTTCTGAAGTGGTAAATCTGAAGGACAACAAGCTGGAATCTCCACTGCACAGTTACTCTCGCATGGCAAAACATAGTCTACATCTATCACATTCTGCCCTAACCTTGCAATAAAGAGGCCATTATGCAGAAGCATTATGGATTAGCTCTAACCTCACCTCACTGGCTGTCTCTTTCCCACACTAACCATCTGTGTAGAATTTATCAATAAAGTCTTATTAAGGAGATAATAATTATTCATCAGTTATGCACAGTTAGCTACTCAACACATGTCTTCATACTGTGGATGCTGTACTCCAGAATGCTTTACAGAGTTCTGAGAACACCTTTCAATCTCTAAAATAAGGTGCACAAATAGGCAAGTTTCTAGCTTATTTTTTTTTTAACGTTGAAACTTATTCACACCATTGCACTTGCTTTCTACAGTTATCCAACGTTTCCTATGTTTTACCTTATATTCAGGGACTCTTCTGTTATCCCCTTCGACTTCAAAGCAGGCTGAAAAGTGCAAAATCTATAGAAGACATGAAAGGTCACATTATAATTATTTAAACAGTTATCTGTATACATTACACATGCATATAATCTATGTCATGTCCTGACAGCAACTTTCTTCCTGAAGGATGCCACAGCATTTCCCTGAGTCTCTAACCCAGGACAAAGCTGCAAGTCAACACAGCAAAAGCATACATTCAGTATTAAGGTGTTGCCTATGGGCTGGATAAAAGTAGTTTCTTTCCCAGATAGGGCCTAGAGTTGACATATAGGGCTATGGACTTATGATCAGATGGTTTAAGGTGATATTAAAGCCAGAGAATGAGAACCCACTCGGACATTTATCTAGCAAAAACGGCAGAAAGGCAGATCAACCCACATCGCAGCTATTCCTGTTTACTTTCAGTGCAGGTTTATGAAGTCAAACACACTAAACACTTTTAAAATACAAAGGTTTGGTGACCTTCAGCTGAGGGGAAGCACAGACAGATGAAAATCAAAACATTAGCTTGAACTGCCTCTGCAAGATTACTCCAAGAGACATTTGTCAGAGCTGAGACAGCAAAGAAAAGGGCTAAACAAAGCAACTGTCTCTGGGGCAGAACCTGGCAACTCTAAGCAGCCAGTTTAGAAAGGAAGACTGGATTAACTTTTTAAGCAATGCTCCGTTAGAAACTCTTCAGAGATTTCAGAAGCAGAAGTAACTGCTATGATTGTTTAGAAATTAACAGTACCAGTCCTTAGTCCAGGCTGCAGAATTTACCACGGGAAGTAGTACGTGTTGAAGTATTTTTCCTGTGTAAAGGACAGTGAAACTAAACCTGATATAACAGCCAGAATTGTAGTAGAGGAAAAAAATAGCAAGGAAACAAAGTGCAAAAGTCTTACATTCAAGTTTCAAAGAAGACAAGCATATAAGGAGAAAACTTTTTTAAACAAAAATGTCACCATTAAATGTTAACTCCCCACCAAACCTACAAAGTGAGAGAGACAAAGACATTTTATTCCTGAAGAATGTAATGACACTTCGTGTGTTGGAAGAAATAGGGAGAAACATTCTTTCACCCAGTACCGTGAGGTGAGATGGAGGTGGCTCTCCCATCTCAGTGAGAGGAAGCAGCACAGCTACAAATGCTGTTTCCTGGGATGCATGCACATAGAGCACACCACTGGGTACTAGAAGAGCCCTACACATGCATTAGTTCCCTGCATAAATCAATACCTACATAATGCTCTGAAGAATTCACAGCTTGGCAAAAAGAAAATTTCATAGCTTTGCTGAAGTGTAACTCATTTAAGACCAAGGAGCTGACTGAAGAAAAAGCAGGGGTAACACAAGACAGACATCTGAAGCCAGGATAAATCGAGGCAATAGACCAGGAGTGTCACCTGGGTGTTCACACGTTATGATGAAGTAGTGATTACCTCTTAAATATCTTATTTCGGTCGCTGTCGTGGAAGACAAGAAATCTGGAGTAACCACTTTTGAAGAATATTTCCAAGGCGATCTCCTGGAAAAGTAAACCAGTTACAGTGTGAAGAGCTGCAAAGCAAAGCTGAGTGCTGCAAAGAGTCCAGTGTGGCCTGTCCAATTCTTCAGGGCTTTAAAAAAACCAGTCTTGACGTTGTATCAAGTATGAGGGAGCATAGCAAAATATGCCTAATATTCCCAAATTATCCAACTTTAGAAATGGTCATACTGGGTTGGCTAGGTGATAAATTCTTCTCTGATGAAAAACCTAACTCTTGGATATTGGTTCAATCGCCTGCCTCCTCCTGCTGCTTCTGAAGTGTTTTTATCTTGAAATCTCAGTGTGATTAACAAGACACCAGTAGCATTAACTTCTAATTAGGCGAGAAAGATAATATGAAGAGGGGATGCTAAATAAGAGCTTCTTTTAGAAAGCAACCATACTGCTTTCTAAATGAACAGTGAGCACAACGGAAATGGCAAAAATTTCTTCTGACTAGAAGCAGCAGAGGAGGAAGGGAAGTTTATGACATTTCTCATTGAAGCTTTAAATAGTGAAAGATGAAAACTTCAACCCCTTTTTGCCACAGTATCTCCACACATCATTGCATTTGCGTATAATCCTGTTATATACTCAGTGAGTGGTCCTGTTTTTCCCCAAAGTCAGTGAAGTAAAAGTATAAATAACGAGTGGTGTCTGGGAACCCAGACATGAGTTTCAATCCAAATGTGGCAGGTGCAATACAAACCTAGAAAAACACCACAGTGTCAACTGCCCCATACATGATTCACAAATTAAGTACAAAGCAGAGAGGTAACATGAGAGCAGCTATGACAATAGACAGCTTGCAGCATTTGCTCTCAAGCTCAGCTTTCCAAACCAAGACTGCTCAAGCGTCGCCAGTACAGAACTGGGCCGTGTGGTTTCACAGTGCTTTGCTCTGAGCTGGGCTACATTCAGGACCAGGAATTCAGCTCTCTAAACAGCTGATCCACCTGTCCCACATGGAAAGAGCAAGGAATCAGTTTTATTCTTTTTCTGCAATCTTTTTTTCACTGGAGTCCCAGTGCAAGAATTTGAGAGTCTGATACGCATAGCTGAATTTTCAGTTCATTAACTGAAACAAAGCAAAAACAAACAAACAACCTCCAAAAACCCACAACCAAAAAAACCCACAAAACCCCCTCACACCAACAAGCCCCACCTTTGCCCCAGGCCCATTTAAAGACTGTTTTTCCTCATCTCCATTTTTCTTATTGGGTCACACGAGACATTTCCATTTCTCACGTTAAACCAAGCCTGTGCATACACAGACATGTGAATATGTGAGAAGGTGGCAAGATTCCACTGGCAACTTTGATGCTATGCACAAAACAGAAGAGGTGACAGTTCCATTGCTGAAGTTACTAATGAGTGATATAAGAAAATAAGCTTCATACAGTTACTCAAAACAAAACTTAACATTCTTACATGTGCTTGGAAAGTGACCTACCCACTGAGCTATGCTATACCCTGGAGCGAGTCTCACCTACCAAAATTGTCCGTTTTGCATATGTAATTGCAGATATAAAATAAAACAAGGCTGAGTCATGGATGAGTGCCGTACTACCAGACATAAGACAATCACCAGCCTCATTTTCTCCAACTTTTGAATTTTCCAAATGATGTTTTAATTCTCTGTTGAACCTCAACCTTCCAAAAACGGATTCAAAATATCCAGTAACTAGCTATGGCTGCTTCATAGTAAATATATATCGAATAATCCATATTTCTGCCAAACAGAATCTGTGAATTACTCTTTAGACTGTAACAAAACCCTGCCAAAACTGTTGCAGCTTCCCCTCAGATGACCAAGCATGTTAGTTCCTACCTGCAGAAGAAAGCGCATCAAGTGAATCTCCTTTATATCGTGATAGGAATGACGAGAACACATCTGGTCTCCCACAGCACGATCTTTGTGACATAAGTTGAAAATAAATGGATCACTGATGCTGGAAGAGAAACATATAAAGAAAGAAAAATTAATTTGAATCAAAAATGTCAGGAGAGACCTCATGAACATCCAAGTCCTCCCTAAAGAATAATAAAAATACCAAGAGACAGCAAGATCAACTAGAGCACACATGAATTGAAAACAAAGCTAAAAACTGAAGGTAGATTTTGTACTCATTCTGAAAATAACACGAAGAGCCTATGGAGGCTAACGGCAGGTTCAGAATTATTTCAGTGCATACAGACTGGCATACAGCAATGTTTCACACACACTGAAGGCTGAGAAGCAGCAAGGGAAGGAGCTGGGTGGGAGAACCTGAAAGCCTGGGTCAAAGGCAACCATATGGACACACAGCTATTATAAACAGCAGTTAATTGGAACTAATAATTAAGCAATTAATCATTATCACTTTAGTTGTGTACATGTATTGCAGTTGCTATCTACAGCCTAGCCCATAGCAAATCCCTTAGAAAAACAACCTAGGCTTTAATTGGACCCAGTCCAATCAATCCTTAAGTCACTTGATCAGATTGACTGATATTGGACGTCGTAGGAATCGGATGTAGAGCAGACAGGGAGTAAAACCACTGAGTTACTCACTGTCCCACTGGGCTTTGCACGTGAGCACGCAGTATGCACAGAGAGCTAAGTCTAACAGACTCATTTCCAATATTGATCGGTTTCAATAAATCATGAGTCAAAGATGATAGTAGCGTGCCAAATATTAGTTACGATTCTGTCTTGGAGAAACAAACACAAACTTATGAGATATGGAAGCTAAAGGCCCTTGTAATGACTGTTCCATATGAATAAAAGATGGCAGACAGTCAGAAGGAAACATTAACAACACTTTAAAAGAACTGAAAACCAGCAGTGTTTGTGTTCAACTGCCCACCATCTCCATCTGTCGGAGCTGGGAGTTCTTGTTGCACCTCCAAAGCCCATGAACAAGCACCTATGTTAGTTATGCTAAACAATTCTGTGAACAGATGAAGGGATGGCAAACTTCTTGCTGTACTAAAAGCCCTCTTGAAATCTCTCCTGCCCCCCAAAGTCTGTGCGAATTCTAGGTATCCATGTGCCAATACTGAAATTAACCAAGCAGATCTCTGGGAGGAAAGAATAACTCACCTGGACAAGCAGTGATGTGTACAGTAGACTTCTTCTAGAGGGGATAATACAAAGCACTCGCAGATATAAAAGTGCTCTCTGCCAAAGAGCAGCACTCCTTCCAACGCTCTGTGCCCCCGCACAACTGCCACAGAGCACTTGAATGTGACCTAGTATGGAAGCAAGCATAATGAAACCAGGAGCAGGTAACACAGGAGACAGGGACAGCAGGGAACAAGACCCAGTGATGCACAAGGACACATGTTTGTACCAAAACAGCTGTCATTTTGACTGGCAGATCTATAGGGATGCGGCCACAAAATGACCCTATGACTGACAGTGCACGCCTCTGTGGTACCACAGGAGGGTCCTGTGCCCTTTTTGTCCAGTGAAGCTGTTCCTTCCCCATCTACCTGTGGCTGTATTTAGTGACATCACTACAGAACATGAAGAGCTTGTAAATGTTGCAGGAGTTAGCACTGCAAAACCTTGCTAGACAGCAATACTTGCTACATAGGCAGGGGCTTGAAGCACTGATGAAAGAAGTGACTTACACAGCATCACACAGAAAAACAGTAACATATAATAAATATGGGCATGTATTTGTAGAATACAGAGAAAAGGCAAACACTTTTAGTTACATCTCAGTGAAATCGAATCTTGAAAGAATCCTGCAAAGGGATCCCAGGGAGCAATGAGCAAGGAAAGGATCTAATACTCTAAGTGTCTATCTCACCGTGGACAGCTGAATCAGCATACAATGGACTGAAATCTCAGTAACACAAAACTATTTGCACTGGCACTTTTCCTTCCTATATTATACAGAAGGTCACTCAGAATATATGAATCTATGAATCTAGTTGTCTTAAAATAAAGATTCAGTTAAACATTCTGGAATAGTTTAAAAAACCGTGGCATCCTAAGACTCACGTGCTTTTTCTTCCTACTGAATGAATTAAATTGGCTCTTAAAATACAGGAATTTCTAATGCACAGTTTAGAAGTATTGGGAATTTTTCAGCAAAGTAGTTCTTCAGTAATGTATGCTAGTTCATAGAAAGGGGCTTTTTTTGGAATTAACAAGTTTTGATAAAGAAAAAGAAAAAATAAAAGGGCTTTTTTTCTGAAACAGTTTCTAACTTTTCTTGTCTGTTGATTCAATCTCCTATACACAGCTCCAAGACAGCAGTCCACTGGTAAGGAGCAGTCAACTGAGAGATTCAAGGTCAACTCATTGCTGTGCCCAGTTTGGACCAGAACTTTGAATCAGTATGTCCTCCATTCCCAGGGAAGGAGGCAGAAGCTAATCGTCAGCCTGTTAGCTCAGTCTCAGATGAGGCACCCTCTATTTGCAAAAAACATTCATAAAACAAAATCCAAATACTTCCTTACATACTAAGAAAACTGCTCACTAATGAGCTCCCTCCATAAATCAGCACAATCTACCTGCAATTCAGAAATGAGTGTAAAATTTTGCAAGCTGAGTCCATCTGAAGCTGCAAGGATCAGAGGGCTTCATACAGGGAGATTAGATCTGAGAGGTAAGAAGTTTGCTGGTTCAGAAATCTAATGCAATGTTCTTGGGAGAACTGATTGACAAGCACAAGAAGTATCACAATTTCTGTTTTTTCTCTTAAGATTGCAATGATTTTACCTCTACCAAACTGCACAAGAACAGGAGTATATTATAGGTATAACAGGTATTACTTTCTGCACATGCAAAAATGACCCAGAAATAGCATTGGTTCTACTAGATCATGTCCACATGATGACAGACAGAGTAAGTATAGTTTCTCCATTGCTCTCTGCCTTTGTTCCTACCTCACTGGAGGAACCATATTTCTGGAACCAAATCTACAACCTTCCTTGCCTCGTGCCCCGAAATACACACAGACTAACCTAGGTCAGCTGAAACAGACCTGCACTGCTACACAAGCTTTCAGTCTTGGATGCCAGCATAACGTAAATAATAAATTAAAAACAATCAAAATAAAGTTTTGTTTCTACACTTCATTTTTTTTTTTACTGAAAAGCAATTATTTAACCAACAAAATAGAGGGTTTCATTTTGAAATCACTTGAGCGGGCACAGAAGGTTTTTTTCATTCTGAGTTTAAAAAACAACAACCCTGGAAGATTTCTGTGAGTATTTTTTGATGAAAACCCCTTCAGTATCTTTCTCTTTCTCCTCTAAAGTCTTTCTAGGAGGAAGCTAGCATTTTTTCCATCACCTCTCCTGCAGAG